GGGGGGGGGGGGAGGGAGATATTCAGTGGCGAGAGATGGTGTGATGGGGATTCGATGTTGATTATTTTTTTTTTCCTGGTTTTGGACTTCTATCTATATGTGAAGCACCCCGTGTCGATTCTGGAGAAATCTGTAGACAGCGAGATTGATGAAGAGGGAGGGAGAGGAAAGAACAACAGGGAAAGGGGCAGAGAGAGAGAGAGAGAGAGAGAGAGAGAGAGAGAGNGAGAGAGAGAGAGAGAGAGAGAGAGAGAGAGAGAGAGAGAGAGATTTGTTCTTTTCAGGACTCGGGTGTTTTGCACCTCGAGTCCTGTGGTTGGAAGTAGATTTTCCCCTATGGTATGCATGCATACCCGCAGAGACACTCAAAGTCTCGCTTCGTTCACCAAATTCACTCGTCTGTCTGTCTCTGTTCGTTTCCTTTTCCCGTCGGACTTGGATGTGTTTGTGTCTCCTCCCCTGGGCCTTTTCATGGCTCTGTCTCGTCCTTGCTCTCCAGGATACGCATAGACTACCTCAGACCCTACTCCCTGGCGCATCCGGTGCAGAGCTTCACCGTCCTGTCCGAGGAGCCTGAGCCGGAGTACGGGTACGAGGATAGTCCACCTTCTGCCGAAGGTACGTACTTTTCCGCGATTGTCATGCGACTAGTGTTTGTGGGTAGCTGCTGTGAGTGCCATTCTTTATCGGTTGATTTTTTTTGCTACGGTCTTGCAAGTAGATTTCCAGTCTTTCATACTTTTTGTTGTTTTGTTGTTTGACTTAACGTTGTGGTTTGGCTTGGTTCGTGTTGAGCTGGCTTTGGCCGGTGCGTGTTTCCGGAGAGAATCTATCAGTTCATCGGCTGGATTGTTTGTGCCTGACTTGTGTTTGATGGCGAGGACAGCTCCTCCTCCCGAAGGCGTGTAGCCGGCGTGAATATGTTGCTGTATGCACCAGACGAGTAGGGAACGGTGTTCAGTTGCCTTTGTGCTTAGGAACAATGACCACCCTCCTTTGGGACTCGCTAGAAATTGCTTGCTTCTGATTGCCTGCCACGCCGCTTGGGGTTGCCGAGGGTGCGGGGGGGGTTCCGCCCTCGTCTACCGTAGCTGGCTTCGAAGGCGTGTGCGTGCGCGTTCTTGTTTCGAACGCCGTCCATCGGCGGATATTGTCTTGTCTCGTTGTTTTGTTTGTTCACCTGTGGCTCTGTTGTCGTAGATCCCCTATTCCAGCCGGGCTGCGTGCCCCCCCCCCCCAGACCCGTCCACATCAACCGCATCGCAAGACCCTCGTCATGTTTGTATGCATCGACCGATTGGTTTCCCGGTGCTCTATGTCCCGATTCGTCACCGCAGACCGCATACTCCAGCTAGTCTGCGCGCAGACCAAGCCTGTCCAGATATACCGCATCGCCGTTCGCGACGCTCTCCCGCCCGCGGGTGTCTTCGCCAAGTCGGCCGACAACGGCAACGACGAGGGGCCCGCAGATGATGATAGCAAGGTGGGTGGTGACCCCCCCGTGTCGTCGGCACCCGAGAAGGTTGAGGAGGAGGAGGAGGAGGAGGAGGAAGGGGGGGTTGTGGTGGCGGCAGGTGTCCGTAGGTATGATGATGATGCCGAGGAGGGGGATGTCGACGTCGGCGTCGTCGTGGACAGCGTTGCGGTGAGCAAGGAAGGCGGGGCGGTCGGCGGGGGAGGGGAAAGCGCTCCCAGCTTTGAAAAGGTGTGTCTTGTGTCTGATGGAGAGAAGAGAGGAGAGAGGGGGAGAGAGGGAGACAGAGAGACGGAGAGAGAGCTGGAGGTGAAGCGAGATGGCTGGTGATGTCGCGATGACTATTACTGTATTCCTGACGGTATGTATTTTCAGCAGGTAAGTACTTATATACTGCCCAGAGGTCGTGGCCACGCCTGTGCATACGAACATACGAGCAAGCTCCCCCCCCTCCGACGTTCGTCGTTCTGACTTTGACTTCAGAAGCTTGACATGGACATCACGGACGAACCCCTGGGCCTCTCGCCCACGGTAGCGGCGGCAGTAGCGTCGTCGCCGCCCGTGTTGGCATCGCCTCACCCCTCGTCCACCCCCAGCGACGGCAGCGGTAGCCGCAGCAGCAGGACCAGCACCAGCACCAGCACCAGCACCAGCAGCGCTGACAGCAGCCTCGTGGATGAAGACCAAGTGCTGCCGGCGACGATGGCGTCCAAGCCGACGGCTCCCATCAGCCCCGGTTACGTGTCCTCCTCTGCCGGGACGCCCTCGGGCGTCATGCTCGGCGACGGCGCCGCCGGCGGTGGCGACGCCAATGTCGGCAGCAGCAGCAGCACCACCACCTGCACCACTACCCGGACAACAGCAGCAGGCGTGGACATCCGGGGAGAGGAAGCAGGAGGAGCCGCTGCTGCGACTGGCGTGGGCGGAGCAGACAGCAGCCCTACCGCCGCCACCGCCGCGGTGGATGGCCGGGACGGGAGGGATTCGGCGCGGGCGGCGGCGGGCGGGTTGGGGGTGACGGCGACGGCCCTAACGGCGGCGATGGCGGACGCGCTGAGCGACACTTCGTCGGGAGTCGGCGGCGCCGGCGCCGGCGGACCGAGCCCGGTTCTTAAACCTTCCGCCGCTCCAACCAACGCAGCCGCTGACGTGGGTGGAGCTTTCTCCTCCGGCGTGAGCAAGGGTGAAGGCACGTCATCGTCATCTTCCGAGGCCTCGAAGCGAGGCGAAATTCTGTCGCCGATGATGTTGGGGGAGAGCGGCGGCGGCGGCGGCGGCGGTGGCGGGGAAGACCGAGGCGGCGCGCTGTGGGCGGCGGCAGTGGAGGCGGAGATCGCGTCTGCGGAGATGTCGTCATCGACGACGATGCCGGCGGCGGCGCCGCGTGAGAGGGTAGCCACGGAGGAGCTCAGGCGTTTCTTGGCTCCTGGGGGCGTCGGAGGACTGGGTGCGGCGGCGGGCGTGGCCCCGTCGTCCCCGTCGGCTGCGGTAGGAGAGGCGTCGGGTGCTGCGGTTGCGGCCGCCGCCGCTGCTGCTGCTGCTGCTGAGGCAGAGACTGAGACTGACACTGAGACTGAGGAGGAGGAGGACGACGACGACGATGGCGAAGGAGAGTCTTCAGAGGACTTCGGATTGGAGGACGCAGAGCAGAGGTTTGTGGGGCGGGCAGAGGAATGACTGGAGGTTGGGTTGGGTTTTTGTGTGTGTTTGTTGTGGGCATGTCCGGTGCTGTTGGTGCTGTCGTGATGTGGCATGATTTTCTGCAAGGCATCCATGTCCATGCGTGTGTTCGTCCCATTCATTCTGGCGCCAGTCTACCTCATCTTCGGTGTACAGTACATGATTGACTTATCAGCCGGTGTCACACACGGCCTTTTCGTTGTTTTTCGTTTTTCAAGTTTTGTTTTGTTTTTCATTCCCCAACTTCCTCCTGCTGTGCTTTCCTCAATCTTCGTGTCTTCCCCCCTCGACATATTTTCGCTAAACTACTTGAACTGCTGCGTTTCTCCCGCCCGCCCACCTCCTTGGCCTTCCTTCCCCTTGCACGATCGATCCCCACCGTGCCCCCCCCCTCCCCCCCCCTC